ACTTGCAGTATTTCCCTGGTCCTGCTCACCCCACCACTTCTGCTTGGAAAACAATCCTTGGCTTTGCCCAAGATGATGGGACTGGGGCTGGAACTCACAGGACAAAGGAAATAGAAGTCTCAACTCTCCTCCTACCTATGGGCAAGTTCCAGGTTGTGTCACTGATCCCCGGCCTCTTGCAAACTCACCCATGCCCATGGTTTCCATTACTTCCTGGACACTAATAATAGAAATTTCCAGCTCCATCTATGGCCCCACTGCTTAATTTGATCCATGTATTAAAGGATTTCTCTACCTACTCAGTGATCCAAAATGTACTCTCTACTGTCTTCTTACATTCCCTCCTCTTCATGGTTTCCTAGACAGATGCTGTGGTGGTCATACTGGGCCTTTGCCTCATCTTCCCATCCATGGTTATTAGGTCTTTCAAACATCGTCTCTCCACTCCCCTCCCTCCACCCTCTTATCAGCTTCCTCATATTCCTAGGCAAATCTAATCTAACTCCCCTTTCTGCTTTTCAGCCCATCAACACCATTCAGCCTGCCCTACCTGCTTCAACTCCATGTTCCACTGTTACATGTGCAGTGCCCTAGATGCCTTTTTCATAGTTGTGACGTGTCCCTGGCCCACTCCCAGTGTGACAGGTGATCAGGCATGAATTCTCCAAGGTCCCAGTAGTCACCCCAGCTCGACCACCCTCCACCCCTACAGGGATTTACAAGCAGGCTTTTCACTTTAGACTTTTTAATATTTCATACAGCGATTATGGTGCATTCAGGAACCCAACCCCCCAAACCCCACTAGGAGGGCTCCCACCCCTGCCCTCCCACCCCGTTTCAGGGCCCCAGGGCTTAGGGTGGAGGAAGGGGAGGTAACCACCCATCCAGGGACTGACCCTGGAGACTGTCCCTACCCTGCCTTACCCTCCCCCCAGGGGATAGGGGGCAACACTTGGGCACAACCCCTCACACCCCCACCAACCCTCCTTGTGCATACACATATGCACACTATGGCTCCTTGCCAAGCTGGTCAGTTCCTGGCAGGGCCCCTACCCAACAGCACCGCGTGGGATGGGAGCAGGAGGGCTGGGCTGGGGAGACCCTGAGAAGGAAGGAGGCCCCAGCTACGGGACCGCAGGAGGGAAAGAGTGGGGTCCCCCCACCTTGTCCATTTCCCAGAGTCTCTGGTAGTCCCTAGATCCCCCTGCAGCTGGGGATGGCAGGCGGGGGTAGGAAGCTGAGTGGCCGTGGCATGCTTTCCCATAGCTGATCCCAGGGTCTGGTGATGATCAGGGTTCCAAATAGGGATGTGTCCCTGTCTCTGAAAGGCTGGGAGCAGGGCTTCATTGCACAAAATACTGTGGGAGGGCCACACGCAGGGGGTGGGGCCCAGCCAGTCTGTATACAGAGATATTGCATTTAAAAAAATGAAAACCTCATTTAAAATAATAATTAAAAAAAATGAAATAAACAAAAAAAGGCCCACATAATATGAGGCAAGTGGGGCAGGCAGGAAAGCAGGCAGGGACACTTCAGACTCAAGGCATTGTCACCATCTTGTCTGAGTTGAGATCCCCAGCCTGGACTAGCTCTCGACCCCTGGCTGGCCGTGGGGTAGTGGTCCTGGGGGATGGTATGATGAGGGGTAGGCCTGGCCTCAGTGTGGGAGGCTGGCACGGCCATGCTGTCCGCCGGCAACTACCAAGACAGAGACAGACAGACCAAGTGAAGGAGTGATGAGAGCTTTGTTAGCACCCAGCAGACAGGCCAATAGGTGGGTTGACAGGCCAATGGTCGGGTGTTTGGGCAGGCAGCAGGGGACAAGCGGGCAGGCGAACATGGGTCAGGCAGGTAGGCAGAGAGTAAGCAGGGAAGATGTAGTTGGGGGCTGCCCTGTGAAGGGTGTGGCATCCCTCCAGCCGCTGCCTGCTGGGGCCTCGGTCTGTGGCTTAGAACTCGGTGTCCACCACGCGGAAAGCTGGCCTGCCTGCGGGGGAAAGCAGAGCACATGGCTGTTGGTAGGCAACCAGGTAGGTGGGTGGGGCAGGGAGCAAGACCAGGGGCTACACCCACCTGAGTCAGGCATTGATGAAGACCGAAGGCTGGCCTCCTTTTGTAGCTGAATCTCCTTTAGTGCAAATATGGAAGTAGCTACAGATGGGGGAAGACATCGAAGTAGGGGATGACCCATGAGGTCATCTAGGACCAGCCCCACATAACTCCACTGGAGGAATTAGAAAAAGCTGCCCCTTCTTTGAGAGGATTGACCTTCATCTGTCAAACAATTCCATACACAAACCAGCTACAACTAGGGACGATGAAATATGGACTATTACACGACACAAAGAAATCAACATTAATTTTGTCAAATGGATTATGGTATTGCAATTACCACCTGTAAAGTCTAGGTGATGGGTGGTGTTTGGGATTTGCTTTATATATTAATCCAGTAAGGAGATAAGGAAAGTAGGCAAATTTTTCCGTAGGTTTGATAATACTGTTTTAAAAAAATCTTTTATAGGTATATGCTGAAATGAGGGATAAATGCTATGATGTCTGGGATTAGATGTGATTGAAAATAATCAGAGAGAATATAGATAAAACCAGATTGACCACTTATTGACTCATGGGAGTACTTAGGGACTCATCACATTCTTTTGACTAACATATAAATACATATATTTGAAAATATCCATATTAAGAAGTTCTTAAAAGCCAGATATAAAAAGAGAACATCACATATGATTCTATTTCTATAAAGTACAAAGACAGAAAAAACTTATCCTTGCTGTTAGAGGTTAAAACAGTGGTCACCCTTTGGGAGGGGGCTGGGAATAATTGAAGGAGATGCAAGAGAGCTGGGGGCGAGGAGCATCTAAGATTCTGTTTCTTGACTTTTGTGCTGGTTACAAGAATGCGTTTCATTTATGAAAATTCATACTTATGATTTGTGCATCTTTTAGCATATATAAGGAAATGTCTACTTAAAAAAGGTAAAGTACTATTACATATATTTTTATGTATGTTTGAAATTTTTCATGAAAGGTAAAAGGAACTGAAAACTAAAAAATGTTTTCATGACAAACGCAACCCATCACACACGTGAACAAGATGTCCCCCCACTTAGAGGTGGCACAGCCAGATCCTATGCAACCCGCCAGCTGGCCCCAGCAGTCCTGTTTCCCAGTCCCCACACTGGCCGGTCCATTCCCCAGCTCCACTCACTGTCAGGAAGTTTGTGGATCCGCTCCCCCAGACTGAGGAAGAATGGATGTTTCATGGCATCCTCTGCGGAGATCCGATTTCGACCCTCAAACTGAGTTGGGGGGAGGTAGGGGATAGTATTGATATCTTCAATGAGTAGGTCTCCTGCCCACCTCAGACCCTGCCCCTGGTTGGGGGGGGTCCTTGTTTCCCCATACCTTGAATCCCCTACCCCCAACGCTGGCCCAAGGTGGTCTCACCTGCAGCAGCTTGGTAAGGAGGTCAGCCCCGTCACTATCAAGTCTGCCACAAGGACAAGGAAACCTGCTTTAAAATGAGTTTGGACACCCTGGCCCTTAACATGCACCCACCCACCAGCCTCACCGGGGTGCGTGGCTCAAAAGGGCCTCGGCTCGGTACTTGGGGTAGTTGTAGGTCTTGAACTCCTCATTGGACAGGATGCCTGGCCACGTCTCCTCAGTTGGGGTTCCTAGTAGGGAAGAGGAGTTACCTCAAACATCTCACAGGTCTTCCCTGTGTGTCTCCACAGTGCCTTGGGCCCATGCCTCCTCACCTAAGATGCGGAAGATGAAATGCAGTTGTTCCTCCACCGTGGAGCCCGGGAAGAGGGGCCGGCCTGTGGCCATCTCATAGAAGATGCAGCCCACACCCCTGAGCAGGGAGGGCACAGTGAAGAGGGAGAGAGCTTGCTGGGTGGCTGTTGTGACCAAGCCACCCCCCTTACCACATGGTCCCCGCCACACTTCCACCCGGCCTTACCACATGTCAATCTGAGTGGAGTAGTCCGTGGACCCAAGCAGGATGTCAGGGGGACGGTACCACAGTGTCACCACCTCATTGGAGTACGTCTTTGTTGGGATTGACTTGGCCCGGGCCAGACCTGGGAAGCACAGAAAGGACAGCTAGAATGAGAAGGTCATGGGCCAAGTCTGGGGGAGAGTGCAGTTGGGACCGATGGTGTTCTAGGCAAAATCTGGCGAGGCTGAAGGGAAATGAGACTAAGTGGTCATGGGAAAGTAGGAGGCTGGGGGGGCCGATGAGAAGAAGGGGGAGGCCAGTGGTACCAAAGTCAGCCAGCTTGAGCTCTCCTCTCTCATTGATGAGCAGGTTCTGGGGCTTGAGGTCTCGGTGTAGCACCTTCTGCCGGTGGCAGTAGGCCAGGCCACGAAGCAGCTGGAACAGGAACAGCTGGGGACCCAGGAATGGCAGGCAGAGGTCAAAGACTATCCACTAGCCCGACCCCCAGCAGGCAGTGCTCCCCTCCCAAACACAGACACTGGGCCCACAGCCTTGTCACACAAAAGAGGACAGGGTCCCAGTGCCCTCCAAGGGCTCCCAGCAAAAAAAGCCAAAGGGAAAAGTCCATTTCTGGGAGATTTGTGGGTTGGAGTGGGTGAGTGGGGGCCCCCTTGTGCCCCTGCTTCCTGCCCCACACCCACTTTCACATTGTGCATGTTGATGATGTTCCCACAATCATCCAGGTACTGCTTCAGGTCCTTGTCCTGAGGAAAGAAGAGGTGGTACAGAAATGAGGGTTACTTCCTATGGCTCCTGGCCTTCTCCCCACGTCCCCCTGGTACCCACTGCCACTCAACCTTACCAGGTACTCAAAGACAAGGGTGAGGGACTTCTCCGTGTGGATGATGTCATGTAGTGTAACAATGTTGGCGTGTTTGAGGTCCTTGAGCAGGGACACTGCAGGAAGCATGGGAGTGGGACAGGGGAAGAGTCAGGGTCCTACCCTCAGGACAGAGTTGAGGACAAGGACTAGAAAGGGACAAGCCCCGGTTTTCTTTTTCCAGACAGTTCAGGGTAATGCCTTGGAGCCACCAGCTCTAACCCACCTCACGCCAGAAAGAAGTTGTGTCTCCATGTTCCAGATGTAGAAAATAAGACTCAGAGGAGAGTATGGAGCAAGAACCTGGGATTGCAGCTCCAGGCTCATTTGGCACTAGATTTTCACAACCTGCTTTTGGTGTGTGGGAAGGGGCCTGGCTCCAACCCTCAGTACATAGGCCTGCGGCATCGTGTGAAATTGAATTCAAATTCATTCCATGTGATATTCTGACTAGAAATTGTTGCTGTAAATAAATTAGTGACTACTTTCAGGAGTGTTCTCAGAACCAAAGCTAGCAACCTGGTTTGCAATTCATCCACCTTTTATCCAAATGGGAACAGATTCCTGGTTATCCTGATTATTACCTGGATATGCGGGTGACAGGCATTCCCATGAAAGCCAGAGTATTTTGGCGGGGGGGTCCTAGAACCAGTCTTTGTTCTCATTATGGAGCGTGTGCACCATGGGGCGGATCAGGGAAGCCTGGGGCAGATGGGATGGGGGTGTGTACCTTCCCGGATGGCGGTGCACGGTGCCCCCTCTTCATGTTCCAGTCTGATCTCCTTGAGCGCCACAAGGTTGTCTGTGAGCTTGCTTTTGCCTTTGTAGACGGTGGCATAGGTACCCTGGAATATAAGGAAGTGTGACAGGAGAGGTGCTATGAGATTCTAGGAGTTCCCACTGACCTCCATCCCCACCAGGGGCCTCCAGGCTGCCTCTCACCTCGCCCAGCTTGTCCAGCTTAATGTAAGTCTCCAGTTTCCCAAAGCCAATCTCAGACTGTGGGACAAAGGAAGCAGGTTGAAGCAGGCTCAGGAGAAGGGTCTGGGAGAGGAGGAGAAAAAGAAGAGGACAGGAATAGAAGACACTTACCAGGCTGACACGACGGAGGCGGCGGCTGAGTGGCTTGTCAAAGATGGGGCTATTGAGGGTCAGCTTCTCAAGGTAGCCCTCAGGTAGCCGGATGTCAGCTGGTAGCG